AGACCAATACGAATCGGGCCACATGCGTAAGAGTACACATGAGCACGCCTGTTACCATGAGAGCTGAAGACGTGACCATGGTCCTTGCACAGCAAATTGACATCTCAAAGGTTCAATATCGTCCCCCAAATTTAGAGCACACTGCATACCGCACTTGAAACTTAAAACTTCATGCAGGGTCGCACAGCACTGGGCAACGGAATGCTAATGGAATCTGCGAAAGATTCAGTCTCAGCTTTGTGCAACAACCTGACCCGCAATACAAAGCGAAGAATAGGCGCTTGACAGTCTCGAAAACGGCAGGTGAAGGTAGTTGAAGAACGCTGAAGACTTTCCACTCATCAGTCTCTCTGAGATCAGTGCAAACTGCCACCATCCAGTGAGAAGGCGGCAGCCGTCACAGCCTCCAGCAAGCCAGACATGCTCCAGATTAGGGCGGCTGAGCAAGGACGGTACCGAGGTCTCCTCACCCGTCAGGACCTGATCGTTCCGAATCGTTCCGAATCGTTCCGAGTCGTTCCGACCACCGTCAAGAGAAGCGCAGACAAACTTTGCTCCGAGACCTGTGGCTTGGGGGAGAGCTCTTGCAGGTGCTGGTCAAGAAGCGCCACCGATCCCCTGCTGTGTGTGTGTGTGTGTGTTTGTATGTGCGCGTGTGTGTGTGTATGCACTCACAACTACAATCTTACTCTCTGGTGAAGATGCACAGTGGGTTGCCTCAACGTTCCCACTGCAACCACTTTGTTGCTTGCAGCAACACACGTTGGCAATCCCACTTCCTCTCGATTATACGATGCAGCAAAACCTTTCAAGAGGTATCAAGACTCCTGTGCAAACTGTCGTCGAAGATCCGAGCTAGGGCTTTTCACCTGCAATGTGCTGAGGTGCATCTGAGCACTGATGCTAAAATCACGGGGCGCTAAAATTTCAAGCTGCTGCCTCCACCAGTTGAGGTCGGCATGCCTTCCATGTTCTGTCAGGACTTTGGGGAGCGCCATGGTTATGCCAATGCTAGTGCTTGTGTTTCTCGGGAAACCTTATCTGATCGTTCACCGGTCTTAGCCAGCCATCTCAAGCAATTTGAAACGTGAAAAAGCTTCTGGAAACAACAGTCGAAAGTCGAACAACGGACTGAGGTGAACCGAAGCCATCCAACAACGAGTAAGAAGCGCATATACCGGAAGTTCTTAGAAACTGTGGGGTAGTCAGAATACCTGCTGCTGGTTGCGAGCGCATGCTTGCTTTTATCCTAATTGTGATTCACATGATCGGGGAATTTCAAAAGCACATCGTACTTGCCTGCACACCAAGAGCACAACAATCTCTATCAAGAAGATGTTCTCTGCAAAGTCTGGTTAGCCGTCAGCTTGTGCCTCTGCGGATGCACCTGTCATAGAGGTTCCAGGACCTGGACCGGGCGTTGGAATCATTGGATGGGTATCCGTTCTTTGGTCGCCCGTACATCAATGAGGCCATCACCTAGGTCACCCACGTCCAGTGCAGAGTCTCCTTGCTCACGCATGCAGTGGTTTAACGCAGGGCAATGGGCGAGCAACTGCAGGGCGGACCATTCGCCGTAGCAGCGGACAGCAAGGACTCAGTGCAAAGGAGCGCTCCAAGCAGAATGGTATCGCTTTGTGCCCTTGATAGCTGCACCACACCTTATGCACACATAAGCTTACAGATTCCGCGCTTTCGGCCAGATTGTGTATGGTGCTTTGTGTTTGTCTTGCCGGCTTTCAATGCATTATTTACTTTTCATCGTCGTAGACCGCATGTTGCTTTGTTGGGGTGTGGACGTTAAGTTTGAAATCTTCTGTGGCTTGCTTCACGCTGTATCCCACAATTCTTGGTTTGCGGTACATGGTAAAAGCTTCAATGGCTGCTCCTAATTAGTTACATGGCTTCTCCGGGTGATCAGCGAGCAAGCCGCTGATTAGAAACAAGGAATAAAGACGCTAACTGCACAGCAAAATCTTGTAAGTTGCAGCTGTAACAATGCTTTCAAGAAGACATGTGAAGGTATATGAAGGCAACGATGCTTCTAGGCTTCAGAAGTAGACTCAGCACGTGTACAAATCGAGAACAAAGTTCCACTGGTAAACAGACGCCGTACCTTCCTTGCTGCCACACCACCTGCATTTTGCTGCATTTGCTGCAAACTTGCAGCTGTATGGGCAAGGCACTAACCTCACACATTTGCCAATAAGCCTTTACTCTGGTTATTCTCTGCTTTTGCTCTGTGTTGCTCTGCTTTTACTCTGCTTTCGTGTTGTCGATCGCCTGTCATTGGATAAGCTCATGGCTCGTTCGTGCTTTGAAGACCATGCGAAGGGAGCTTGAAGGAATTCCTGCCAAGCAGCTTTCTGAAAAGAAGCGCTAAGCTCTTTCCAAACACTTCAGACCTCAGTCTCATCATCGCTTTGTCCGACTGGCTCGGGATGACGAACCACCCTGAGCTCAAGAACTTCTAGCAATTTTTGGGCATCTTTCAGCTGGACAAACCCAAACCGACTTTCCACAACCCTCAGTTGCTGGGAGACGTTGCCTGACATCCTCTCCGCCGTGACTGCGACTTGCGGCGCCGTCCATCTCGCATGAAGTCATGACCGTCATGACCCACCGCAGGTCAAATCTGCCATCCGACTGGACAGGCCTCTTGGACAAACTCCTGATTCCCGTCATCCCCTTCACTTGATGTCTCCTGCAACGTTTTACGCCATTGGCTTAGAAGGCTCGATTGTGACTGGCAACTCGCGCCGAATCCATTGCAAGCAGCTCATCAAGGCCAACCATCTGCCTTGCAATGCCAGCGATACACAAGAAAAGCTGCTAAGCAATGAGACTCTTGCCCGGTCTTGGCTTGCCGCTCCTGCTCAGGGATCCAAGACAACGTTCCATATCGTAACATCGTGACCTTCCGAAATGTCCTGAGACCCATCGCTCACAATGTCCTCCACATGTCCTTGATGGATATTGAACAAACAGCGCGATGTCAGAAGAGGAAGCTAGCCCTTGCCTTCAGGTGACCCACCAACCAGCGCCGACAAGTTCTGACAGATGGAGGCTTGTGATGCAGAATACGGCATGCTACAAGGCTTGCACTCCAAGGACGACCACGGTCCTTGTCTGGGTTTGTGGTAGCACCACTGTCACCTGGAGATAGATCCGCAATTCGAGAATCGCAACTCGAAAATCTTGTGAAGAAAAAGCATACTGCATGAGGTTGCCGACGCAGCTGCGGCTGCAGACCAAACTCCTCTTCGTCCTGTGCTGAATGCATTCCTGAAACTTTTGCGCAAGCGGCTTGGCTGGCTCCAACATCCTCTGAAAAATCAGCTTGGGCGAGGGCCTGCCAACAAAGATAAGATCGTCCAAGGCAGACAGACCAACATATACCAACCAAAGCAGCCTCTGCCAGCGTCGGAGCTCGTGGAGGGTGCCCCTCCTCGAATCGAATCGAACAATGTCGATATCCACACGTTGTTGAAAATTGGAAACGCACGTTGACCAAAGTTTGTTCAAACAAACTGTCATGCCACGCCTTCTTGATTTCCTCAGCCATGTACAAGACCGATTCACTGTGATTCTCACACGCACCACAACAGCACACGTCGGAACATTGCCTGGCGGATGCCAGGCACCTCATGCACCCCACGAAGCGGCACACAATTCAAAATTCACAGCCACAAGCGAAATTCGTTTGAGCTGGCTGCATCTGTGGACGACGCTGGCACCTGCAAGGGTATCCGAAAAGAATGGAAAACCCAAACCAGTTTGTTGGTGGTGCGATTTGCAAAAGGGCCCAACCAGCACCCGGCCTCTTCATCACTTGACGAATCTGCCAATAGCTGGTCGACAGTTCTCGACCTAGCACATGCAACATCACAACACCAAGTCGTTGCAACTTAATGCTCGGGATGTGAGACACCAACTGTTAAGTTTGCCGCATTAGCGACCTTTCTGAAGCACGGGGCCATTGCTAAATGTTGGTCACCATGCCAACAACAGTATGAGGATATGGTGACATCATAAGCCTGAGCCCATTAAAATCTGGTGATGAACTGCAACTTGTACGATTCAGTAGAACGGGAATTCAAAATGCTGCGGGGCATACAGAAGTTGCACATAAAAATAAATCAAAACGTACGTCAACACAAAAAATACAAACCACGCAATGCTCAAGAAATTTGATGGTGAACTCACGCGGTACAACCCACCAAACAACCCGGACAGCAGCTACTTCCTGAAGAGGGTTTAGTCGAACCACGCTGCGACCAAAGCACGTGGAACCACGACACAACTTTGCTGGAACCACGCGCAGGCTGCACGTACAAACTGCGTTCACAGTTTTTTTCGGCTCTCGCAGGTTCCCCAAGCATCCCAGCACACCGCAGTGTAAACATGAGAATGAGGTGCTTGACTGCCTTGAAAGGAAGCTTTTTGCTTCGTGTTTAGGGTTTAGGGCCAAGAGTCAAGGGTAAACTTGAAAGAAAGGGAGGGCAGTAGCTACGCGTTTTGGGCATGTTGGAGCCTGAAACCTTCAAAACGCGTCGCGTTGGAGGGTGTGGAGGGGAGGGCAGTGGCCACGGGCATGGAGCCTTCACTTCGCAACCGAGCAGTAGCTACGCGTTTTGGGCATGTTGGAGCCTGAAACCTTCAAAACGCGTCGCGTTGGAGGGTGTGGAGGGGAGGGCAGTGGCCACGGGCATGGAGCCTTCACTTCGCAACAGAGCAGTAGCTACGCGTTTTTGGGCATGTTGGAGCCTGAAACCTTCAAAACGCGCCGCGTTGGAGGGTGTGGAGGGGAGGGCAGTGGCCACGGGCATGGAGCCTTCACTTCGCAACCGAGCAGTAGCTACGCGTTTTGGGCATGTTGGAGCCTGAAACCTCGAAAACGCGTCGCGTTGGAGGGTGTGGAGGGGAGGGCAGTGGCCTAAAACATTTTAACGGGTCTGGGGCGCCGAGCTTCGATCAAGGGCAGATCAAGCTGACGGTAGCTACGTGGCAACAGGCTTCTTCTGAGCACGCTTTGCTGCCACCTTCCTCCGCTTCGCGAGAACATGTCTAAGAGTCATGAAGTGGGCATTCTCCTCATTCTTCTGAAAGGCACCCTCTCTCAAGCCTGCGGCGAGCCTCATATCCTTCACACACACGGTGGCCCTCTTGGCATGTCTTGCCAGCAACGCAGAGTCTGCAAAGCGGCCGTGGAGAAAATCCTCCGCCATGTAGTGCGCTGCCCGGAGAGCACCGTAAGAGAACTTGGGCATGGTGGGCGGGCGAACGTTGTCCGTCTTCACGAGTTTCTGCAGGTCCGCCTCCAAGGACGCAGCGGTGTCAGCCGCCACTTCTCGGAAGAGACGTTCAAATGCCGCCTTCGGGATCTGATACGCACACTTCCCTGCGTGAGTGTCGGGAGATTTCGGACGCTGGCGCTTGCTGCTGACACGATCTTCACCCTCATGTCCACGGCCACCACGCGCGGATATGGGCTCACTAGCAGCCCTTGCTTCAGCAACATCCACAGCCATTGCCAAGGGCGTCTTTGTGCTAACAAGCTCAGTGTGGGCTTCAAGAGGAGGCTCAGTGTACCTTTCATAGTTGTCTTCCTCTGCCTCAGACTGGTCAAACACCTCGTCTTCCACTTCGGAAGTGTCCTGATCGGGACTCCGGACCCTAACCCGACCTAAACCTTCAACCCCAGAGGCTGCCAGATGAAATCCGCCTCAAGCTTCTTTGTCTTCGGCTTCAGGGGAGCCTCTGCACACAAGACTGGCCCTGAAGCTGCCAGAGTCTCGAGTCTGCACCTTCTTGGTCTTCGGCAAGGCGTGAGGCGCGGTAGCCTCTGAAGAGAATCTTGTAGCCCACGCCGGTCTCTATGGGTGCACTTGCTATCAGCAAAGGCCACGGCGTTCTCCTCCACACGCCATTCAGCATTCTGAAAACGACAGCACACACAACGGCATACTTGAAGTTCATGACACACAAAGTGTGTGCAAAGTCCGCGCACATGCACCACCCGTTGTTGCAAGTCTGCTCATCGGCCAACAGCCGACCCAGCGCCTCCAGGAAATGCGGCAGCAGAGCCACATAGCTGAAAGCTCGCAAAGTAACCTCCGCAAAATACAGTGGCTTGCAGTCCGGATCTTCGTACTGACGAATGTGTTCCTGAAAGGCAGGCCAGGAGTCGTGAAAAACTGCAGTTGTGTCAAGCTGGGAATTCTTCTTGCGTTGCTGCAGCACGGACCGTACGATGTCTGTTGCCACTCTGTCTGTGCCCATCCGGATGGCGACGTTGCTTGCTGTCGGTCGAAGACCCCGTTCCAAAAGAGCATCTATAGCCCTATGGACAGCTTGGAGTTCGGCCACAGTTGGCTGCTGCTCGAGCGGCTTCTGCTTGGCAGCTTTACGTCGCCCTGCGCCAGAGCAGTTTCCGGCTTGCGACACTCGCAGGCTGTAGAACTCGCGGGAAGAATGCCAAGAGCCACTGAACTGATACCAGGCTCCTTCCCCTTTGAAACAAGCGTCGTGCTCTGTGCATCTGCATGTGCATACCCAGCGCTCGTCTGCAGTGAACCGTGGCTGTGAGAAGTACCCACCCAGCAGCTTGCGCTGCTTCAACCACGCACGAGCAGCGAACCGAACCTCTTCTGGCGCAGTCTGTCCTGACTTCATCTTGTCACGCGAGATAACAAAAGGGTCTTGCGCGAGAGGCTCAAACTTGAGGTCACGCCGGACACGATTACTCCCTTCGGGAGTGTCCGCATCCCCGGCACTGGCGGCGTCCGCCATCGCTGAAGGAAATTCCCTCATTCCCTGCTAACCAACAGTAAGGCTGTGGGCCTGGTGTACTCTTTGCTCGAACCCCTGAGCTCCGCCATGTTGCAGGCCGTTCGGGTTTAGTGTTTAGGGCTGAGAGCTTATTTTTTTTTCAGTTTGGGGTTAGGGGTTTAGGTTTTTATTTTTGGGGTTGAGGGCTTCTTACAATAGCCCGGAGTGGCCCTTACTCTCTTCTGTGGGGTTAAGGTTCCCTTGTTGCACTGCTTGGGCCAGCCCCAACTGTGCATCACGTCGCACGCTTGGAAGGTCTTGGTCTTCTCAGCACTTCCGGCACTCAGAAGACTAGCAAATGGCCATGTCAGCAAACGGGACGTGTGCCTTGCTGCTTCCAACAGACTTCGGCACCTTTCGCGCCATGAGAAAGCTTTCCTGCCAAGAACGAAGAGAAATGCACAAGCGCTGGTACTCGCTTGAGGGCTTAGAGAGTCGGCATGAAGGAATTAGAGCGGAGACCATGAACACAACCTTCGCGTGGCAAAAGCAGTGACTGCAGAAGGAAGAGTGTTCTAGCAGCAAGTAGATAGTACTGCGGAGGAAGAGAGAGAGAGAGAGAGAGAGAGAGAGAGAGAGAGAGTGTGTGTGTGTGTGTGCGTCGGGTTTACGGACGCAGGGCCAAGCCACTGAAAACATGTTTCCTTTTGGCAGACTGAGGACACGGAC